GTTGGTGTATGCATCTCTAATCTGTATGTATCTGATTATTACTACTCATAATCGGTTGCACTTGGATCCTTGGTGCCTGTGTATGTCTATAAAGTCATCAGGTAGATTTCAATGGTATTGCTTATCACCTCTACTAATTAACATGATGTAAATTTCCATGCTTCCTCCTCAAATACATTTTTTAAAATTTGTAGATTTAAAAAAATAATAATAACATGATTACACTGAAAAGCTTTGTATAGATTGGAGAATTTGGAAAGGGAATGGATGGCAAACTCACATTACAGCAACAGTGGCAAATTTCATATTGTTGAAGCTTGGTAGTACAGTTTTATCAGCAAATATTCAAAAATTATAGTAAGCATATAGAATTGCAAATTTTCACTCTACAACTACACGTTTTTAGTTTGAGAATTATATCAATTTAGTTATTATAGTACTTTCTTTTTCTTTCTTTTTAACTTCCCAGTGATTTCTTTATCTTAAGAAATTCAAATAGGTGTTTTACATTTTCTATAAGGCATAGGTGAAGGCATACTGGGAGTATAGAAGAGTAACAGAAAAATAATGGAAAACCTCTTGGCACCTGGAAATAGGAGAAGTACAGTGTCAAAGCCTGGATGCCCAGGACCACGTGAGGTATATAGATGGCCCTCAGGGGAAGTGGGAAGTCCATTCTAGAGAATCAGTCCTCCCAAGACCAGAATGTGCAAATGACAGACACCACCCCTGTTCCCAGCATAAGCCCAATATAGAGGCAAAACCACTGCCATATACAACCTGGAACCTCAGAGGAGGCAGCTGTGGGGAATGCAACCACTCAGCAAAGGCTAAAACTGGTGTCCAACATCAGCACGTCCTCCACCCTGCAATCTGCTCCACCATCAGCCCACCAGCAAAGGAATGTGGAATTGTGGCTCATGGTTGGAGACCACAGCTCTAGCTCACAGATGGGAACTACAGTTCTGCTCATGGGAGAAGCCTTAGCTCAGGCTCACAGGAGGGGAAGGTGGTCAGTTTCTTATCTAGTTAATCATCCATATACCATATGGCCAGTTGGAAGTTTATGTGAAAATCAAGTGTACTACCATTCATAAGAAATGACCATCTTGCTGTAGTTTTCAACTTCTGTGTGTAAGCACTGTTTTCCTTGTTTAGTAGATAATGAAAGAGAGGCCAGAAATCCCACTTGAGGTGAAAATGACATCATAGTGCACATATCTCATGTCTTATCCTCCATTTGAGAACTTATATGGCTAAATACAAGCAAAGGTTTCACATTAGAGAGGTAAGTTTAATTCTTTTCATTTTAAAACTCTTGGGTGGCTCAACAATTAAAAGCACTGGCTGCTCTTACAGAGGACCCAAGTTCAGGGTTTGGCTCCCAGCACCTACAAAGGGTTATCCGAAACTCCAGTTCCAGGGGATCTAATATGTCTTCTGGTCCACAGGCATTGCATGACATAGGTGCACTTGCATGCATGTAAGTGAAACACTCATATATAAGAAGTAAAATAAAAATAAAAACTTTTGTGTATATATGTCTACAAAACAAATCAAGATTAAAAATTTTAGCTGACTATCTTTGAGCTTGTTCACATGTTGGGGAGTAAAGAAAACATAGTTTTTAAGTTCTACATAAAATTATGTCTTAGGTTATATTTTTATCAGAATTGCTTTCTTGGGTGGTTTTAGTAGTTCCACTATTTAGCATTAGCAACCTCTCTTCATACTGCAAACAGCTTAACTCAAGTGAATTTATGGTATTTAAATCACATCAGATGAACTGGCTTTTTGAAAAATATCTCATGTTAGATTAAAACAGGAATACTAACTTTAGGCTATTTACCAGAAATGTTCTATGCTGATTTGTTACTTTTTAAATATGTTAGAAATGAAAAGAAGGTAAAGAAGGATAAGCTAGGTTTACCTGTTATTTTTATCAAAACAATCTGGCTAAAAGTATTTTTATTTTAAAAAAGGGCAACATCTCTTCTTGCTTATAATATATACTATGTCTCACTCTCCCCTAGCAGCCCCATAACATAAAGGAGGAGAGGACTTTTAAGTCTAATGCATAAGGTATAAAGAAAAAAATATCCAATAGGAATTTTTAGAGTAGAAGTAGCCTAGGGTTGGGGACAAAGCTCAGTGATACAGCACTTCCTGGCCTGTACAAGGCTCTGGGTTCCATCTCTAGTACCACAAATGAACAAAAAAGATAATTTAGTTTATATGCCTGGTATAGTGGTACTTGGAAGGCTAAGCCAAGAAAACTGTGGTGATTTGGGGACTACTTTGGGCTTCATAGTGAGTTCAAAGCCAACCTGTGATAGATAGCAAAACTCTTACCTCAAAAAAACAAAAGTTTGGAAATGGGGAGATGGTTTAGCAGTTTAAGAGCATATACTGCTCTTGCAGAGGACCAGCATTCAGCTCTCAGCACCCATGTTGGGCAGGTGACAACTGCCTATAACTCCAGCTCCAGGGCATCTGACACCCTCTTCTGGCCTCCACAGGCACCTACATTCATGGGTGCATACCCACACACAGACACATAAAATTAGAAATTAAATATAAAAAGTTCAAATCCTTTCCATACAGTCTTCCATCTATGCACTTGGGCCTATGACACTTCTACTTGCTTTAGAGTTGACCCTTTGTGGGAAAGAGAAAGAGTAGGTGAATAGGCCAGAGTCACTGAAGACATCTGTTATTCAGAAATGATCATTACTACCCAGGCATGCACTGATAGTGCACATCACTAATCTCAGCACTCAGAAGGTTGAGGTAGGAGGATTATGATTTTGAGAGCAACTTGGGCTACATAGGCTGACTCTGTCTCAAATTTACATGTACACATACATATAT